TTTTTTTTTTGCTACAAATGAAGGAGGCCGGAGCCTAACGCTTTTATATATTAATTCAAAACGTGTTGAGCTTAATTGGTAGCTCTTCACGCTTCGGACGCTGACATGGCGAAAATCTATGCTTCGTGATGTTGTTATTATATTATATTTGCTTTAGAGTTAAGTTTGTTATTAGACATCAATAATTTTAATCATATATTTTTTAACTCAACACTCATATTGTAGATGAGTATTGTACTAGTTTACTAATAATACTCCAATAACATAATTAAAATGCAATTGGATAATCTTTCCTTTTTTTTTTTTTTCCAAAATCGTTTTTGTCTAAAAAAGTGATATGGAAAAATGAATACAGTTACTTTTTGTAAAACTGAGGTCAATTTAAAATTGTAAATAATTATGAAATATAAATATAATAATTAAAATTAATAAAGATGAAATTGATAAATATGGATTGATAATATACGTAGTCATAAATATGTGAATGAATAAATATTTTTTTTTTTTGTGTTAAAAAATATAACATAATGACTATATTTTTTTTTTTGGGTGTTAGTATAGTGTAAAGAAAAAAACAAAGAAATGAATAATAATTTTTGTAAAATAATATTTTATTTTTAATTTGAATGAGATAAATTTGAACTCCACAACCCAAAAAAAAAAAAAGTGGTATTAAAAATAGGAAAAGCTAAGGTCCCGTTACCATTCTGTCGGGGTAGATAAGCGTTAACCATCATATAACCGTTAGAGATAGTTGATCTAACAGCAATCCCAACGAATTGATTCCGTAACGAGACAGTATCATCTTCCTTAAAATGACATCCACTTGATCCAAGTTAAAAAGTTTTTGTAATATGTTAATCACCATTTCACCAACATATATGTGTAATGCAATTTAAGTGGTAAATTGTGAAAAGGGCAAACTTCAAATTGCAACAATATTTTAATACTCAATTTATTTATTTATTTTTTATTTTTTTATTTTTTTGCAGAAGATTATTTTATCAATATATATGTTAGAGCCACATACAGACACAAACAAGGACTCGAATTCTTTCTCAAGTCTACGTCTTCTCCATAGCCCACATTCACTTCACGATGACGCAAAACACAGTCTTTTTGCCAAGTTTCAACTCCTCGATAAACTCTATCTCTTCACCCTAACCACAAATGGCCGCCGCGGCTTATTTTCACCCCAATTTTTGATATTCTTTCATAATTTATCGCAGGCCCAGAGAGAGGTTAACAGTGTTGTGGTCAGAGAATTTTTTACCCATCCTTTTCTCTCGTAAGTAGTTAAAAATCGAATCTTTATGTAATTTTTCGCTGATTTTGTTTCTGGATTTTTTTTGTTTGTGTTTCCTGAGAGTAAATTCGAGTTCCTTTAATGGGCTTGTGGGTTTTAATCAGCTGTATAGAGATTCTGTGTTAATGGGGTCTCTCTGTCTGATTCGTTTGTAAACATGAATTGCCTCTGATGAGTGTATGCTCGTGAATAGTAATTGTCTTTTCTTGGAACCTGTTTGAGGCTATTGATGATTGGCTTAAGTGAATAAGGTTTCGATTTTACTGATTGTTTTTCTTCGATTTTTCATGTATATTTGTCCCTCGTGTTTGTAGCTTGTGAACGATTTATTTTATGATGTTGTGTTGTTTGTCAAGTAAGGGGAGTTAAGAGTTATTTAGGAAAGGTAAAAGAAGCATATACCTCTGTAATTTTGTGTAATAAGCAGCTACTCAGATAATGAGTTCCGGGCTCATTTTCGTGATCATCGTCTTGGCTTGTAACTATTGCCTTTAATTCCTTTTCACGTGTAGCATAATGTACTTTAAGTCTTTACGGTTAAGGAATCGTGCCTAATGTGTTGCGATTCCCTTGAAATATGGTACATTCTCGGTTAAAATATTGGTTAAGAGAGAAAAGAAAAGCAATATTTTCATCATTTACATGATCTTCTTGTGTTATAGAAGTCAGATCAGCCGGCTGTTTGGTGGTGTGGGATGTTCTTGCTACTTTAATAAAGCAAGAAAGCAGGATGTCTTCATAATTTGTTTTTCTCCTGGCAATAATTTGTCACTTTCTTTTTTTTTTTTTAAAAAAAAAANNNNAAAAAAAAAAAAAAAAACTCTAGATTTGTTAGTTTTTCGATCTTCTTTTTATCCTGATCTGAGTTCTTCAGAAATTTTTTTCCGAAGCAGATCAATAAAATGTCTGTGACAAGCAAAGATGAACCGAACAAATTGGCTCTTGATGTGGGTGCTTGGATGTTCAATATTGTCACCTCAGTTGGTATTATTATTGTCAATAAGGCATTGATGGCTTCATACGGTTTTACATTCGGTAAGTTGGTTTTTTTAACTTCTCCCATGGTTTAAATTTCTCTGCATTTTCTTTCCTGTGTTAGATAGAATAAGAGCTTCTCTGATACCTTCTTTCTCTCTCTTTCAGCTACAACTTTAACTGGTCTACATTTTGCTGCCACAACCACAATGACCCTTGTCCTAAAAAGGCTCGGTTACATTAAAAGCTCCCCTCTTCCAGTCTCTGATCTCTTGAAATTCGTCTTGTTTGCAAATTTCTCTATCGTGGGAATGAACGTGAGCTTAATGTGGAATTCCGTGGGATTCTATCAGGTCACTTGCCATTAAATACCGTTAAAAATTAAATTCCAACACCTTATAAGTTTAATGTGTTTTTCGACTAACATGTATTATGCATTACATATCGTGTCAGATTGCAAAGCTAAGCATGATACCCGTATCGTGCTTTCTTGAGGTTGTTTTGGATGGCGTTCGGTATTCGAGGGACACCAAACTGAGCATTTTACTGGTCCTATTGGGTGTTGCCATCTGTACAGTCACGGATGTGAGTGTTAATGCCAAAGGATTTGTTGCGGCTCTTATTGCTGTTTGGAGCACGTCCCTGCAGCAGTATGTAAGTACTGCTTCCTATGAAACTTTTGGTAATCTAATTAACCTTCAATCATAATTACTAGTCATGAAGTGCATTTTCTGTTGCTTAATTGTTCCTTATATCAGTAATGTGTACAAGTAATTTTCTATTAATTGAAAAAGGAAAAGTTGTGTTTTTCGGCTTCTTGCTTGAGAAAAGAATAAGTGAGTAGCGTTTTCAAATGTAAAGCTTTACAGCTATTTTCATATACTTTCGATTTGTACTGCATTCATAATGGTTCTTTTATTTTCTTTTTATTTTTAAATATCTTTCTATTATTCAACTTGAATCTTCTTCTCCCTGTTGCAATGCAGTATGTTCATTTTCTACAAAGGAAGCATTCCATTGGCTCTTTCAACTTACTCGGGCAGACAGCACCTCCACAAGCTGCATCGTTACTGTTGGCAGGGCCATTTGTTGACTACTGGTTGACCGATAAAAGGGTCGATGCCTATAACTACACCTACATATCAACTGTACGTATCTTACTAAACCTTTTTTTTTTTTTTTTAAACTTGATCATTTATGATGAACCTAAAAAACTTGCAATAATTTTCCTTTGTGTTTTGCAGATGTTCATCGTGTTGTCGTGTGCAATTGCAATAGGTACCAACTTGAGCCAATTCATCTGCATCGGCCGATTCACGGCTGTCTCGTTTCAAGTGTTGGGTCACATGAAGACCATTCTTGTCCTGACGCTCGGTTTTCTTTTCTTCGGTAAAGAGGGTCTTAATGCCCATGTGGTTGTGGGCATGATGTTTGCCATAATCGGGATGGTTTGGTACGGTCAGGCCTCGTCCCAGCCTGGGGGCAAAGATCGGCCCAGCTTGCCTCCAGCTGGCGAAAAGCCCGAAGAGGAAATTGGGCTCGTGAAATCCACAGAGGTCGACGAGAAAGTATAGTAACTTTTCTTTTTCTTCTTTTGTTGTTGTTTAATTGTCGAACCAAGATCGTGCCAGTCTTTGGCGAGGGCACCTATAACGAACTGGGGAAATTAACGTCGGTCCAAGACAATTTACTTGGCTTATTAACTTTACTTATTTAAAGAATCAATCGCTTTCTCTCTCTGTCTCTCTCTCGGTTTCGAATGAATGGATGAAATTGAGTTGATGCAGAAGTTTGTCATACTTCATGTTGTTTATTAACTTCACATGAAAGATTGTCCAATATGATGAGATACCCAGATGAACTGAACTTGAGAAGAAACAGCTCTTTGTGAATGTGGTTTTAAATTAAATTAAATATTTGTAGAGTCACAGCAAATCTAAGATATTGGCATCCAATTGCACTTTGGTAGGATATGACCATTATTGCACTTTGATACTGTGTTGGAGTGCACTGAATTTTGGTGTGCATTTAACTGTCCTTATGTGGTTAATATCTAACTGCACTTGGATTTGATAAATATGGACATTATTGCACTTTTGAAATTTGTTGGAGCAAACTAAATTATGGTTATGTGGGAAAGCTTTTGACTTTTGTAAGCTAGGGGATTGGCTTAGCTGCAGATAAGTACAAGAGACATGAAAGAATGTAAGAAGATCATAAGAATATATTAATCACACGACAATGTATATAAAATTATAAAACCATAATAAAAAGCGATATAGCCATAGATGGGCCAACGGAAATAACACCAACTACGAGTGGGTTGACTGAAAGTATACTCGACTGAACTCTTACTAAGACGACCCGAAGGCCGTCTAAAGGAATACATAGACGACCTAGAGACCTTGGAGTACGCACTACCACTCGGACGACATGCTGAAAGCGTCACGACTAGAGCTGCAAAGAGCCGAGCCGCATCGAGCATTGGCCTTATCGAGCAGGATTGAATTTTTATTTGAGTTGCTCGAGCTCGAACTCGATTTATGAAGCTCAAGCTCGACTTGATAAATAAAAAAATACAAAAGCTCTCGGCTCGAGTTCGGTTAAAAAATTTTCAAGCAATTTTGTATAATTACCATTAATTGCATATATTAATATTATGATACATATATATACAAGGTGTATTTTAGTAATTTAACATATATTTTGAGCCGCTCGCGAGCCGATCGAAAATGCAAAATATGGCTCGAGAATGCGACAATATTACACAATACCTATAGATGGGAAGAACTATCAATACAGATTGCGTATGACGGATCTTCTGACCCCTCAAGACACCTGAGGACTTGGAGTAGAAAGAAACTTGATGGGCTCGAAGGAGCTTCGAGAATACGACAATACTAGACAAATATAATGACCCAGTGCAATGTAGAGCTTTCTTGACCACATTGCGAGGACCTGCGCAGGATTAGTTTCATCAACTTACACTAACCTTTAGGGCATTTAGCTATCAACCAATTTGCGAGTGCCAAAGCTCATGAAAGAACCTATTTAACTCTAAATATTGCAACAAAGGGAAAATAAGTATTTGAGGGATTACGTGCTCGTTATACCAGAGCGTGCATAGATGTACACTTGGAGTCGGAGGAGATACATGTTTGAGGACTGAATAGAGGATTGAGACCTGGAAATTACAGAAATTTTTTGGCTAAGAAGCATGGGCGAACTTTTGATGAGGTATTAGCAAGGTGCAACAAGTACATGAATGCAGAAGAGGCAGAGGTTGATTTTTTTACAAACTGCGAAGCCGACCAGAGCTGCGGGAAGAAAGGAAAAAAAAAAGTATAGTTTGCGAAATGACAAGAAAGAACAAAGGAGATCGAATAGATGAAAAGAACCACCCTTGAAGGATGGGCAGAAGTATGAAAAGTACACTACGTTGTCGGTTAGTCAAGCTAGATTTTTGGAGGTCATAGAAAGAAATGTATACGATAGCTTGGTGACCTAGCCAAAGACCAGGAATGATGGACTTGTTCGACCCAAAAGCAACTTATATTGTTGCTTTCGTAAAGACTACAACATAATAAGATGATTGTAGATACCTGAAGGACGAAATTGAGCGATTGATAAAAGCAATACATCTGAAAGAATTCGTCTACAAGGATAGAGAGCGGGGCCAAGTTCGTTGAGAGGACAGAAACAAGAGACCCATGTCGCCCTAAAACAGAGAAGAGTTGCCCACAAAAAAAAGAGTCATCTAAATGATATTTGGAGAACCAACTGATGGAGATTCAAACAGAGCTAGAATGGCATACGCCAAGAGTCACAAGGTGAAAGTTAGTCGGGACGCTGCGAAAAGGCCTATGGTGAATTTTGGACAAATCTACATTGAAGAGGTCGAGAGGCCACACAATGACGCTCTAACGGTGGCATCGGAGGTCGCTGAGTACAAAGTCCGATGAGTTTTTATTGATACAACCAGTTTAGTGGATGTAATCTTCTACAATTGCTTCAAACAGATAGAATTGGAAGTCAAGCTGAAGGCAGTCAATACAATATCATATGGTTTTAATGTCAGAGGTATCCTGATAGAAGAAGTGACATTATCCGTGGTCTTGGGAAAAGAAAATTTGAGGAAGGTAAAAATGGTGAGATTTCTATTTGTGGTGTGGACTCGCCTTACAATGTGATCATAGGTAGACCTGCTCTGAACGCATTTTAGACAGTAGTGTTAACATACCATATGAAGTTGAAGTTTTCAATTGGATACCAAGTGCGTGAGGCTAGAGGAGATTATAAGCTGTCGCACACTTGCTATCAGATTGTTGTATAAGCCAATAAGCGAATTGAGGTAAAAGAAGGAAAAAAACCAATGATAGGGATAAAAAGAGACTTGGTAGTGACCTGGAACCACATGGAGAGTTGAAGGATATCAAGATTTGAGAGACTTAAGATCAAACAACTACGATATGAAATGGGCTAGACAAGACTTTACAAAAAAGCTAGTCGACCTAGTAAGAGAGTATCGAGATATATACGTATTCACTACAAACGAGATAACGCGCATCAACCCAGAAGTCATGGAGCACAACCTTAACATAGACCCTGTAAAAAATCATATGAGGCAGCGAAGCAGGCACCATGAAGTGGAGCTCAATAGGGTGATAGAGGTAGAGGTAGACAAATTGCTTAAAGTTGGACATATTAGGGAAATTTAGTTCTCCGAATGGTTGTCTAACATGTCATGATGAAAGAGGCTCTTGATAGGTGGTGCATGTGTATAGATTTCAGAGACCTAAAATTGGCTTGCCCAAAAGACCACTGCCCGTTACCCAAGATCGGCCAATTGGTAAACTCAACAGCTAGTTGCCAGGTGTTAAACATGATGGATGCATCCTAGAGGTATTACTGAATCCCACTAGCCCCTGAAGACCGGAGTAAAGTGATTTTCGTGACTGGTAGAAAAACATATTGTTTTGTCGTAATGCCATTCAGACTTAAAAATGCAAGGGCGACCTACCAAAAACTAATGGACAAGATGTTTCAAATGCAGATATGTTGCAATATGGAAATATATATATATATGACATGCTAATGAAGAGCAAGGATAAAGTAGAACAACGAGCCAACCTTGGAGAGATGTTCAACACTCTGAGGGAGTTCTTTTTTAAATTGAACCTGACAAATTGTGCCTTTGAAGTTTGTGAAGGAAAATTCATTGGATACATCGTGACGGAAATGGGCATAAAGGTGAATTTGAACAAAGTGAGATGTTTTAGACATGATTCCACCAAGGAACATTCGAGAGATACAATTATTGACACGTCGAATTGTTGGACTTAGCAAGTTTATAGCAAAAGTCACGGAGAGGAGTTTTGAAGTGTGGTGTGCTACAACTTACGAGATAATAGCCATTGTGTTGTTAGGGAGACGCACAAATTCATTAGCACTATACGAGGTGTATTTGTCTTGCGGAAAGAGTTTAGTCGTCTCAACTTTAATCTTTCCGTTCTTAAGTTGTAATTTGTTTTCAGTTTGAGTTTACTTTAGAAGAATTGAATACTTAAGTTCATAAATTCTCGTATAATTGAAATTGAATTTGTAACAATAAGACCTCATCTGCCGCCTCTCGCAATCCTTTCGCTACAACCACACACTCACACATACAAAACCAGCCCCCGAAACTTAAAAGAAGAAGAGAACCACATATCTTGAGTTCTAGACATGAGAATTCCGGACTGGACTCGAACGACTAACGAAATCTGGCGTACCCAGAACTATGCACCCAAAAGTTTGTAGCCTGAGGAGAGACTAAAGCCGAGAAATCCAACTTGATTCACCTCACCAAAGAAGTCACTATCGCCGTCCTCGACCCAAGACCGAGAAGATGGGGCGAGGCATGACGGAGGAGCCCGCTAACACCGGAGCCACCCCACAGCCAAAAACACGGAGAGCGGAAGAGACAACCATCCATCACCACGAGTCCAGCCCATGATTGGAGGAGTGATACAAGTCGCGATTGATAGAGGACAAGGAGAAGGGCGCCAAATTGGTGTGATTTCTAGTTTCTTTGTAACACCAAAGATATTTAGGGAAGAGAATTTTTAGATGGAGAAATTTTCGACATGATTTTTGTTTGATACAAAGTTATTTCTATAATTAAGTAATTAGATAAATAAAAATTATTATAAAAAAAAAATCTAAGATATTAGACGCTAGTTTGGTTTGACATAAACAATTCACATCATAATCAAAGTTTGTAATATTTTTTTTTTAAATTGGCAACAGTGATATCATTTTATTTTTGTTAAGAGTGATTATTATGAATTCATTAAACAATATATTAAATTATGGGAACAAATGAATATGGCAATATTTTATGTTTCTCCCACATTTTTTTTTTTTAAATTGCATAAATCCAAATATTAAATATTTAAAATAAAAATACTAAATTAGAATTAAAAATTTGACAAAAAATCACAGTACTTATTATTTTTTAGTTTCTATATCGAATATTATCTTATTGGGAACAGTCGCGTTACGGAATCATTCCGTTGATGTTTGTAACCCTTAGATTAATTATCTCATACGGTTGCATGATGATCTAACGGTTATAAACCCGACGAAATGGTTCCGTAAACGGGACAGTAACATTTTCCTATCTTATTACCATCATTTAAAAGCCAAAAAAAATATGATAACAGACCTTCCTCTCATTTCTCCCTATCCCAGAAAAACAGACCTTAGTCGGCGACAGAACTGCTAAACCCTCGCCTGTGCATCTGAGGCGAACCTTCATTCCCAGGCTCCAAAAGAAGGTAATACTTATGGTGCAAATGCTGTTATCTCTTGATTGTGGACTGATTTATCATCACCCATTAACTTTTCTCACTAGGGTTTTGAGCGTATTTACCTGATCTATGCTTCACTTAGCTGTTTCGAGTTTCTTGGTTTGTTGCGGATGCTGAGTGAATGTTACTTAGCTTCGATCTGCAATATGTTTGAATGATTTTGAATCTGTGTGTTTGTTCGTGTTCGTGTTTGTGTTCGTGTTTGTGTTAGTGTTATTGGCTTTATATTTGGAAAGGAAATTCTGAAAGGTGTATATAGGAAGCATTCTTGGTACTCGAATGGATTCAAATTAAATTACCGCCTTTGTTATGATTCGGTTTTGATAGAAAATGTTGGTTATCCTAATGTTGAAATTGGTCTGATGTGCATATACCCTTTAATTATTTTGTTGTGGTTGTAAAGGATGACATTAAACTGTAAGAGTTAAGAAGTTAGTCACATTCTTTAATAAGAGTTAATAAGTCTTTGAATTTGCATTTGGAGCAAAGAGAACAGTTTGGCTGGATTTGGATACTGCTATCACTGGATTCCTTACGACTTTATCAATGTAGAAGTTTGAGTTGATAAGTCCCACTAACAAGTTTCATCCTTTTAAGTCAGCTTATTATATGAAAGGGTCATGTCGTTAATCTGATAGTGAACAGTAATTTTTTGATTGGGATTCTGTTTGCTTGCATTCATTTTACCTTGTTCATATGTGTGTCAGTGTGCTGTGAATTAGGGGATGCCAAGGGATGACACGGCACAAAACACAAACACGGCACAACACGATTAGGAAACACAACTATATAGACAAATGACACAGTAGGCATGATATGGCACGACTTGAATAATGCAATCAATCAATCAATCAACAAGCCGTTAAAATCCCACTAAGTGGGGTCGGCTTTATGGATCACATGTCGCCATCGTGCTCGATCACAACACATATCCTCATTCAAATTTAAATATTTTAAATCATTTTTTATTGCCTCCTTCCAAGTTTACTTAGGTCTAACCCTCACCCTTTTAATATGCGTTTTGGGAATATACAGGGTATGTTGATGTTGATGAATTCTAATGTTTCTACCCTTCTCACTAGTGTCTCGAAATCTCTCCTACGCACATGCCCAAACTTTCATTTTCTCCTTTATGATCCTTGAAATAATATGAAATGAAAAATAGTTAAATATTGACTTATTATTATATTTATGATCAAATAAAATAAATAACACGAAAACACGATAGTGAAGCACCAATGTGATAGCATGATAAGTGTTATCAATGGTGGATGGCGGCAGGCCAAAACCCTGCCACAGCGCCTGCCGTGGCGGCTTATGGTGCCGCGCCATAACAGCCATCCTTCACAAATATATCATGGCGGTTTGGCAGAAATCCGCCACTCCATACTGCCATTTGATAGCACGAAGCACGATTTGCCACCCCTATGTAATCCAACATGGAAATTGGTTGTTTTTACGTTGGAATAATCAATAATATGTATTGCCATAGGCTATTGAAAATAGTTCAAAAGCCACATGCTTTAGCGTGAAAGTTAAGGGCATGCTTGTTTATGAAATAATTTACTCAAAATGAGTTATTTTGATACAAGAGTTAAATTTGAAAAATGTGGTATGATTAGTTGTTAGTGGGATTTTAGTAATGTATTAAAATAATATTTAAAATAAAATGATTATTATTGATTTGATGTAAAAGTAGGAGATAAATGATTGGAAATAATAGATAGTTAAAATTATGTGAGTGGATGAATAGTGAATTAAAGTTGATGTGATATGTAAGAATGATTGGTTTATAATATTTAATTGTATAAATAATATTAAGGATAGTGGGGTTGAGTTAAAGTTGAGTTAGATTTTGCGTATGAAATAAATGTGAGCAAATTATTTCATAAACAAGCGTGCCCTAAAGGATCTGGAAAGCTAACTTGAAAATTTCAAAGAGCGGAGTTGATGGAATAATGTAAGAAGAGATGGTTGCCTTTGCAGGTTCTTTTCCAATTTGATGGCCAGTTACTGTCTATCGTGTGGTGTAAAACTCATGGCTTTTTCTACCTTTCTAGTGCTTTGAAATATTGGAAAGTAATAGTCAGACTGTTTTAGTATTCGACTCCGCTGAAAGTTCTATTTTGGACTTGTTGTCAAAGGATGAAAAGGCCCCATTGAAATATTGGAATATTGACTCTCCCAAAGCTTGTTAATACATGACTTTACAGTTGGCAATTGACGCAATGAACATGAGTCCCAGGGTTTTGTTTCTAACTGCAGATACCTTATCGTTGGGTTAGGTGGTTTATGCATTGTGTGGCCTGTTGATGGCAAGCGGATTTCTGTGTCAGTTCAAAGTGCGACTCACACAACCACCTTTTCTTTTTTCAATTTCTGATGTTCATCCTTCTGTTTGAAGTGTAGAATTTGCTTCAGTGGTTCATGGCAGCAAGATTACAGAAACTGCAAGGCAAGGCTTGCCAAGCAACAAAATACGTGGCCGAGCATGGAACTGCATTCTACAAGCAGCTAATGGAGCAGAATATACAATATGTTAAAAAGCCACCCACCGTGGAGACGTGCAATGAATTATCCAAGCAGCTTCTTTACACTCGTCTTGCCAGGTTATTTTTTGGAAATTATAACTCGTATTGTATCTTTGAAATTCGGGAATGCCAATTTACTATATGTAGACTTCAGTGTGGTGTAGTTCAGAAAATTTGTGTAAATTCATTAGTTTATATATGGTGCCATTATCATTTTTATCATGATATTTGAACATTGAACTATATAGATCTAGTTATTGATGTAATCAGTGTCAGACATATGAGTTAAGCTTTGAAATGTTAAATTGCATGATTGGAAAGGAGTGGGGCAAGATATTGGCAAGATACATATATCTATTTTGATTAGTTCTTTTGTCTCCCATTGCAGCATCCCGGGACGCACAGAGTCATTCTGGAAGGAAATTGATTACGTGAAGAATATGTGGAAGAACAGGCATGAGCTGAAGGTCGAGGATGCCGGCATTGCTGCTTTATTCGGGCTCGAGTGCTTTGCATGGTTCTGTGCTGGTGAGATTGTTGGAAGAGGGTTCACTTTTACCGGTTATTACCCCTGAAAACCAACTGGCTCATAATAATTGCTGCTCTATCGGGTTACATGGTAATGATCGTGCGAGACTCTACTCCCTGTCCTTTAGGTGCAAGATTTTGTTTTGATTCAGAAGCTTTCAAAGCTGAGAAATCGGTGGAATATTAAACTTAATGCCTAAATAATTAGTGATTGATAATTTGATATTTGATTTCCTCTCTCCGAAGCGGCCTTTTTATTGTTTACTTTTTACCTTCATAAATTTCGCTGTCGCTGTAAGGAAAACTTAAAAAAGAAAAAAAGGTTTGGGAGTTAGCTTCTTTATTTGCCAATGAGACCTGTCTAAGAAGCCATTTATAAGTGCATTTGTTTGAGAACCTTCGCCTGTGATTGCTTGATTCTGAAAAGACTTTTTATAGCTCAAGTTATCTTGTTCATTTTCTATTCTCTTTGTTTTCTTTCGTCACTCTCTCTTTGACCATAAGTTATTTTCTTCTATCTGGTAAAAGTAACTCTCGGGGGTTGAGAATTGGCATTTTGTGTTTGGAGTTTGGATCGTTTAGTAAACGAGCTGAGCTGTCGAGTTTGGCTCGTTAACTAAACGATCCATTAATCAAGCTTAAGCTTGAGCTCGACCTCGGCTCGTTTATCAATATTAATGAGTCAAGGTTGAGCTTTTAACGAGCCGAATTATAATTTTTCAAGTCTTAACTATTCGGGTTGAGCTTAAACTCGTTCACTAATTTTGTTTATCAAATTAGACGAGCCGAAGTCGAACCTTGATGAGTCGAATTCACGAGCGACTTGTTTTGTATAATAGTTCATTGCCTTGGTATTTTGTCAAACTTGCCTCGGTTAATAGAAAAGAACTTAAGCTACCACATTTTTGGGAAAACCTGGACTATGAAGTATCAACCCTGACATCTTTTCTTTGTAGCAACAGAGATTGGCCTCGTGATTCTCTGTTATGTTGTAACATTTATGAAAACAGCAATAATTATGAAAACTAACCTATAATTACTTGGCCTACTAATTTATTCAGAGGCGCCCTTTATATATATTTGGTTGATATTGTACCAGTTAATGCTTTCCCAAAAATCGCCATTCAAGTGCCTCTATTCAGACGCAGAGTAAATGCTAATACTTGGCAATATAAAGTACCAAAAATTGTTGGTTTGCAGATGGAGAAGATTACCACAGATGTGAGCCGAGCTCGAGTAGTTTGATCTTCTCACACGCTTTATCGCTTTTATTATTTCGTTTTTCACTTTTGTAGCCGAGCGAAGGAACATGACTCTTCAATAAAAATTGAGTTCATCAATCATAGTTTTCTTACAATAATCTGCTAGGTAGATATATCAAATCAGTAATTCGTTTCATTAGGAAACAAATGTCACGATTTTTCCATTTATGCTGTTGTAATTAATTAATTCAAACTATATGAAAGTGTTCTTGTGAGAGTGTGTGTGCATTGATTGTGACATGGCACGTGAATAAATAACAAACAACTTCACATGAAGAGATAGTCCAATTTATCTGAACAGATAAAATTGGATATAGACTGCCCTTGATAAATTAGGGCTGTTTGTGCTTTAAATTAACAATAATGCTAAAGA